AAGTTCACTGCTCTGTGAAACTGGGAGGTGGTCCCAAGGGTTTCCATGGCGACGAGGAGAGGGAAGCAAGCGTACCACCAGCACCTCCTCCCGCCACACCTGTAGCGACCACCTGTCTGTTTTCACAGAGGTGCGACAGACCCTGTGACCCCCCCCCCCCCCCCCCCCTGACTTCCCTTCCCTACAATAAAAACCCCAAGGCAGAAAGAGGGAAAAAAAGAAAAAAACTGGGAAAAAAAATGGGAAAAAAAATGGGAAAAAAACTGGGAAAAAAACTGGGAGGGGGAAAAAAAGAAAAAAACTGGGAAAAGGAGGGAGGGGGAAAAACTGGGAAAAAAAATGGGAGAAGGAGGCGGCTCACCAGTATTTTGTCCTCCGTTCGGCCACTTTTGGCGTCCCGCTTGATTCCCTGGAGGAACTTGATGGAGGATTTATCGATGGTCCTCCGGACGCTTTCTGGGGATGAAACACACGTGAGCAGGTTTTGTTAACGAAAGAAGTCCAGGAAGTGGACGTAGTGGTGGACGTAGTGGTGGACGTAGTGGTGGACGTAGTGGTGGACGTAGTGGTCCTTGGGTGGAGTCCATCAGCTCCCTGTCTGAGTTGATATCGACGGGATGAGATCAATCACACCGCCCTGTGACCTTTGGGAGGAGGAGCCTCTCCTCGCGTCCGGCATGTCAGATGACCAAATACCGATCCAGTGAAGCTCCCCAGGATTCTTAGATGAGGGGGGTCACAATGCTCTGGGGTCCCCCGCTCCGGGACCTCTCACCTCCTCAATTAAAGGGCATTTTAGTTTCATGACCAACTTGATGATCATCACATTTATTCTATATGTACTATAATAGTGTCCCGCCCCCTCCCGTCCATCAGGTGGCGGGGGGCGGGGCTCCATCAGATGAATCGAGCCATCAGGAGTCATCAACGCAGCGGTACGCGTGCACGCGCGTCTGTACGCGTGCGTTCGCTACAAAGGCCGCGCGGGGACTTTGTCGCTGTTAGAGAAACATTATTATCAAACTGAACATGAATCGGCTGGTCTGTAGCTCACGCACGCGCACCGTGCACGCACGCACGCACGGCGCTCCGGCCGGTAACGGGGCCGCGGGGGGGAACCGGGACGAGACGCTCCGGGTTCCGGTCCAAAGGGAAACCGGCATCTCCGCCACGCCCCTTCCCCTCGGTGGCCTACAGGGGAGGGTCTATTACCTGATACCCCCCGCGGGGGCACATTTACCGCTAATGGGGGGCTGAATAACGCGCATCAACCCCCCCCCCCCCGACAGCGAGGACAAAGCCGAGTCCGGAGAGAGGGACCGGGAAGCTGCAGCGCGGGACCGACGTCCGTTCCGTCGCCCGCCTGCAAAAGAAAAGCATCCCGGACGCGCCGGAAGGGGGGAGAAGGGAGGGGGAGACGGGGGGGGCTAGGGGGGGTCCCACCGGATGAACAGAAAACCGTCCGTCTTCACCCACCTGTCATTTCTTTGCTCGCACCCACCAAACCGGAGGCAGTGATCTCCTTGGTAACCATGTCGGGTTCTCTCGCCTATAGCCTCTCCTCCTCCTTTCCTCCTCTCCCCGATAACCCCCCCCCCCCCCCT